ACTAGTAATTTTTTTTTGTTTTTTCGACTTTTCATATACACGTTTATATTCTTTAAGCAGATTTCTTAAAAATCCTAATTCTTTGAGGGAGAGATTCGACTCTGAATTTTTCTGTTCTTTATAGCGAATAATAGTTTGTATTGTATTAAATACTTCAGCAGCTGTTATGAGTAGATCAGGTACTTTATCTTCATCTTCAATTTCTTGGCTAACTGCTTCTTCATTTTCATTAGCTTGAACTATAGAAATGATCTCCTCGTCATTGAGTATTTCTTCTGTAGCAACAGGTTCGTCAATTATTTGTAGATATGTTGTTATGACTTGAGCTGTCTCTGGCGCATATGAACTTTTATCTGGTAATTTAGTAACTATTTCCTTAATTTCATTATTTTCTAATAGAATATCGCTTTTGGGTTGATCTACAGTATCCATATTTGGCTCATTTATGTTTGGGAGAATTCTTGTCTTGTTCTAGCAGTTTTGAATGGTTGTATTACTTACATTGTCCCATGATTCTGCGATAAAATCAATTGCTTTCTTAATAGTTATTTTTTTTCTACAAGAAAAAAAAAAAAAAAAATTAGTTCAAACAATAGCAACAAACCATACCATATTTTTGCAAATAATTATACAAACTTTTCTATATTAGCATTGGATTCGAATTGCTTAAGAACATATTCACAGTATAGGTGCTTATATTTTGACTTAAATGATTTGATTATACCGGCATCTATTGGTTGGATGTAAGCAGTTGTGTGAGGTGGAAGATAATACAGGGTAATATTTGTAAGCTTCAACGTCTCGGAAGGTTCTTTATTTTGTCTACGAGAAGAATTGGTATTGTTCTTGTTCTTTCTCATTGCCTTCCGCATATGCTTCTGCAAGGCCTTCCGCACGTGCTTCCACGTAGTCTTCTGTGTGTGCTTCCACGTGGTCTTCCACGTGTGCTTCCACATTGTCCTTTTTGTTGCTTTTCAAGTGATCTTTCAGTTTCATCATTGTCTCTGGAGCCGAGAGAATCATTCATTAAGTCTTCATTTTCAAAACTTGATTGATAATCATCGTTCTCTATATTATTAACACTAAGTGTCTTATTCGTATTATTAGGTAATTCAGGTGAACTATGGGATGGTGCATTGTCTACAAGCAGCAAGATTTTCCTATTTTGAATGCGAAACCCAGAATCAATATAGCATAACCATTTTTCTCAAATATCTGATCTCATCCATGCTCTTTTATTATTCCTATAGGTGACTGGAAGTTGTGACAATTTTATACCACTAAACTTCATGGCTTTTTCAAATGACCGATGACCAGGGTCCGAAGTTTGTATAAACTAGTTATATTTGCAGCAAGTAGAACCGTAGCCCATGATTTATCCTGTAATAACACATTATTATAAGTAGAATTAATTAGAGATTAAAAATGAATTTTTTTTTTTTTTTTTTTAACCTGTTTTGACCTAGCAACAGGCTGCTTCGCTAATGTTTGGTTTGGTAACATGCGGTAAAACAACCCTGTTTCATCAGCATTGCATACATCTTCCAACTCATATTGAGAAAGGAGATTTTGAAGCTTTATTCTTTCATTTGGCAGAGATTTCAAAAGTGTACTTGCAGCTTCACCGTGAAGTTTATAACGACGCAAAGAATTTTGTTTTTTATAATTAGTTATCTACCCGTTTGAAAACTTTAGTTTATCTTTTGAAATGCCAAGGAGTTTTCCAAATTCACAACCCTTTGTTTTTACCAATTCATCTGTAAGAATTAGACCTGCAGCCGAAACTTGGCTAACCCAAATATTCATTGCTTTCTCAATTAAAAAGTACTTTGGTTCTCTGTTTTTATACTGATTTTGTGTTGTATCATTTTCTTCAATGTGTAGATACTGATCTTTTTTTTTTAAAATTTTAGAAATGGTTGTTCAGTCTAAATTTAATTCAGGATATTTTCTCTTAAATTCATCCGCAATATCATGGTGTTTTGCAGATGGGTTCTTAATATGGTATTCGCAAATTTCTTTGCGTTAGGCATTATTTAGTTGGCTACGTGTTTTTTTAGGCGCTGGACTAGGAAGCATAATGAAAAAAAATAGTTATCATCGCTTGAGATAGGATTCAGTTAGACTTTTTATTAATTTTTAAATTCACTCTTTATAATTATTTAGGTGTATATTCATTTTACCCCTGTTTTTGAATTAGTGCAATAAGCGGATTTTGTGAATTCCATGAATCCTGCATTTTACCATTGTTAAAACAATAGTAAAATGCAGGATTCATAGGATTCACAAAATCCTCTTATCTACTAATTCAAAAACAGCAATAAAAAGATTCAAAAATACAAGAGAATAAGTGCATTCATACACATAATTCTTAAAAATATTCTCACATCAGTAAGCGATAGGAGTATTTTCATTTGATTTTAATTTTTGCTTCTAAAGTATTTGATTTTTATTTAATCTTTCTATTTTCTTATTTCTTTATTTTAGATTTTCACAAGCAACGCTTCAGCCCATTCCGGGATCTTGCCCACCTCTTATCTTGCTAGTCTGCTATATATATTTTAATCAGATATTGTAATCAGAGATGCTATTAAACTGTTTGGGCAAAGAATTTTAGTGTCATTTGGAGATGAGAAAATGCGCATTTTATAATAACATGCGCATGAATGCGCATTAATGTGCATGTTATATAAAATGTACATGATATCGCATGATGTAACTTTTTTTGAATTTATATCGGATATTTGCTCAAATTTTTGCCCTGACTCTTCTCATCTTAAATTTTCTATATAAAATTTTGATAAGATAAATGCATATGATTGAGAAACCATAAAACCCATCTCTAGTATTATTATTTCTCTTTGTATTTTTTATTTCTTGTTTATTTATACTATTATTCCCTGATTAACCCTAGCTATTCAAACAATGTTACTATCTATTCAAACAATGTTAGGGTATAAACATTTATCAGGTGATTTTTTAGGGGGGGGGTCAAAAAAATTAAAATTTTATATATAACACCTGATCAATTGTATAT